AGTGACACAATATATATATATATATATATATATATATATATATATATATATATATATATATATATATATAATTGATATATTATTAGGCGAGGGATAGGCAGCAGCATCCCTCTTAAAACATCTTCAAAGCGTAACTGGGATTATCAATCCGTATGCTAAGCATGGCAACTACTGGCAAACCCCCCCCCCCCCCCCCCCCCCCCCGGTGGAAGCTTATGTTCAGCAGTGGACAGTTAAAGGCTGATATGATGATGATGATGATGATGAAGGTAAAATTTGTTATTTTCAAACGCTGTCATAAACGCATTATATTAGATTGATTATCTAGGTTCACGTAATTCGAAAGTTCATTAAAATGAAAGTTGTCGTCATCGTAAAATGAGTCATTTCATGGAAAAAGAATCGGGCGGCCAGTACGCTATTACATAAAGAGTTTGTCATATATTTTTTCTTCGGTCAAGCACCGCGTACGACGAAATGAATTATCTACAGCTTTTTTTAACTCTAGGTCAGGCATGCGTGAAACGTACTTGGCATTAGGAATGTCGTTTGATTTTTTTAAAGCATGATTGTGACGTAATGTTGTTACATAAATCAGTATATTTTGCTCCACAAAAAAAACATAGCCTTTAATACATTGTAGCAAAATACCGAAGAAAAACGCGATTTTTTGTTGACACATTACTTCAATTAAATGGTAGCTTCAATTCGCCACTAAGTTAATACGAAATCAACACGAAAGCAAATCTTATTGATAGCAAAAATAAATATCCAAATCTGTTCAGAATTTGGCCACACAATCGTACGTTATTGCCATAAAAAAAAAACACACACACACACACACACACACGAATTATGAAAAATAAACACCCTCTTTTTGGAAATTATTTGAAAATCATTATTATTTTTATAATCCAAACGATAAAATATTTATAAAATATGAGATAAAATACATTTATTAGTTAGCTACTTACGTACAAGCATTTTAATGAATCCGATCCAAATATAAAATTATATATATCATTTTAACGTTTTCATACATCAGCACTGGCATTTTAAGTCATAAACATGCAATTTTGGAGTAATGCCATAACATTTTTACTTTTTTAAACACTTTTTTATTTTTAATATTTTTTATTTTTTAATGACTGTACTGTGGCGAAGCTAAGACAGCACTGTGACGCTGGTTGAGCAAGGATCCTTCAGCTCAAGGATAGTTAGAACAAAACTAGATTGTAGGCTGGTCGTTCCCCACGAATGCACTAGGTTTATTTAACATAAATTTGTCATACATTTGCCCAGATTGTTTACAGCGATTAAAAATCGATTGACGATTTCGTTCTGCTAATTATGCTGCGAATAGAAAACGATAGTCGGCTTTTTTTTTTATATTTTCATGTAAATGAGATCTCACTAAGATCTGAAGACAAATTTCAGGTCCGTAAATATATGTGTTAGGTAGTGACGTATTTAACCTATCATAAAGTGGGGAAAGGGATTGTTAGTAATGGAGACTGAGAATCCCATTGCTAACAACATACCCAACTAGGTCGACCTCCTCGCGGTTCTCCCTGGAAACTATCATGGTTAATGCCTGATGAATTCATCATGGTGGGCTAACCTGGCCTGTTTTCATTCTCATCGATCACCATTCACTGGCGCTCCGCCAGCGTATCCCGTTAGCGCAGGCGGGGTTACCATACCATTTTCACCCATCAAATAAAAAAAACCTATCATAAAAATTAATAATCAAACTTAACCTACAAAAGTTATGTTTTGTGTGTATTCGTCAAATAGAGACGGGCAGATCGAGTTCAATCGAAAGCAATTGTTTATAATATGGATCCTATTAATATTATAAATGCGAATGTTTGTAACGATCAACGGATTGATGGATGTTGTTACTCTCACAGAAAAACTACTTAAATGAAATTTGGTAGACATGTAGGTTAAATTCTAATTTAATACAAATTAGACTTTATGTATTGATTCACGTAACCAAAGCCATGGAATATAAAATTGTAAATTTGATTTAATTATTTGAATTTGTAACGTGAAATCGTGTCTTACAGGTAGATTTTTCTGCATAAATAAAAGCGCTTGCATTTTGATTTTATTCAAATAGTAATAGGACATTTTCAGCAAATTATTTTTATACATAAATACTTAAAAACTTGTTGCTGTAGCAGACTTTAAAAATAAATTCGATTTTGAATATAAATATGCAGATAATACCTATTTACAGGATATGCTAATGAGGACAATCACCTTATGTCTCGTGTTCGCTGTACCACACTTAATTATCCAAACCGAAAAGGATTTTTTATTGTTGCGATTCTTCGCAACAGAAGGTCCGTGTATTTTTAATAAAGTTCTAAAAGGAGCAGTTTGTCTTTGAGAAGTAAGCTCCACTTGTAGACACGATCCATGTGTCTACAAAACATCTCGTCGACCATGTTTTTTTTATACAACTTAGAATTACAAACAAGCTGACGGACGGCCCACCTGATGGAAAGTGGTAACCGTTGCCTATAGACATGAGCAGTACCATGGACATAACAGATGCGTTATCATTCCTGAGGACTCAGATGTTATTCCTCTGTACCCTGTAAATTCACGCCATATCCCACCCTTCAAACCGAAACATAGCCATGCAAACATAAACTGCTTCACGGTTGAAACAGGAATGGGACAGAGGTACCCAAGCAATCGACTTTTGTACAAAGTCTCCCTCTGGTCTGGTCTCCATGTGTTTTGTCACAATTGTTCACATTCGATGTATTTCACAAAAAAACCGACTTCAGTTGTGGGAAAATGAGTTATTTTGATTTAAAAACTAATCTACTAAATTCATTTTAATAAAATATCTATATGGGTCCAATCTGTGAATATATCCTTTCAGATAAAAAAGACTTACAAATCGGTTTACAACTGCCGCAGTGACGAGGTAACGAACATAAAAAATATATAATCAAATTGAGAATTTCTCGTGTTTTTGAAGTCAGCTAAAAAACGGGTATATTACTCTTAAAAATGTATTTACCAAGGTTAGCTCGCTTCGTGGGGTGGGCACCAGACAATTCTTGGGTGGGCACGGCCTACCTGACTCCGTCTTAAAGACGCCTATAATTTTTCAAATTGTCATGGATCGTAACAAATCAATGTGGTATCCATACGGACTAAACTCAGTCAGTTGCAATGAGAAAAAATAAATGTATACGAATTGAGAACTTTCTTTTGTTCAAAGTCGCATGTAAATAATATAATTATTTTTTTAAATCGACACTTAATTCAGACGACTTCACATTTTCGTGTGAAGGGTCTCAACATTTTTACTATTTATTGTTTTAATTACTATTTTTTCCCGCTACTTCGTATGTGTGCATTTCAGAAGTAGGAAACATCACTTTTAGATGGCGTATCCAAATAAAATATACATGAGTTTTTAAGTTAGACTTATACAGTGAAAACTACATTTAATTTGGTGCAGTAGTTTTTGGGTAATGCTAAAAGAGGCATACAGACAAAATTTCTAAAAAATGTTTTGGCTTCTACTGTTACTATTAAAACCCCTATAAATATATATATATATATATATATATATATATATATATATATATATATATATATATATATATATATATATATATATATATTTAATCTCTTCGATTTTTTTTATACAACTTAGAAAGGCAATTAAGCTGACGGCCTACTTGATGGAAAGTGGTAATGATGTACAAACATTGCCCAATAACAATTTTATTTAGTACAGGACTTTTTGGTTCAATTTCGTTTTGTGAGTTTCCCATGATCCCCGTGACAGGAAATGATTCAGTAGTGCGCGGCGTCGTCTTGTCTATGGCAAATTGTTGAATCATCGTTTAAAAAACTGGGGGTCTACCATGAAATGAAATTCCGAATTTTCGGACTCAATTTCGTGTTTTTGTTCATACCGAAATCGACCCAGTAAATGGAGCTTAACGTTTCGTTTGTCATAAATCCTACCATAAAAGTCCAAAGGAACGATACTTTAGCATTTTTAATGTTTTTAAACGGTAAGTATTATGTAATTTTAACATCAAATTTGTGTTTCGTTCGGACCTGAAATTTCGGAAAACATTTCATGGTAGGCCTTCTGATGTCGAGATTCGGTTGACAGTTGACTTGTTGCGAGATATACTCCTATCTGTTCCACGAATGCTGTCAGTTACATTGCTTATGACATATATATAAACGGACCAACCACACATTTCATTGTGTTATATGCTGACAGAGGCACGAGAGCAGGGTTCCGTATTCGCAATCCTGACTAGTCTTTAATCCTTCTTAATATTATAAATTTACATATTTGATGCGAAATGTTTGTTATCTCTTAGTATTTTAACAGAAACAAATCCTTATGAAATTTGGTATACATGTTGTATTTCGGTGAAAGACATAGATTATTTTTTAGTCTATTCACATAACTCGGTCGCGAGGAAGAAACCTATATAAATAAATAAATATAAACATATGTTGTTTTATTCATTTGTTACCTATAACGCCTTAAGAGTATAATTTATGAAACTTATAAGTATTATGAAATTTAATATTTATGTAGTATTTGGAATGAAGAGGGAGATAGGTCACAAAGACATCTTCTTTTGCTACCGTGACGTTATCTATATAACGCGATTAGGTTATGTGGATGAAGTCGCAGGTAGGTATTATATATATAAATAATTTAAGATTGTATTCCAAAATAAAAAAAACAGCTATTTAAATTGTGAATATTTTTATATAGTCCTATCATGGGATTAAATTTCCACATAAAATAATCATGCAAATCGGTTAAGAATTAGTGATAATGTTAAGTAACAGACAGACAAAAAATCAAGCGAATAGAAAGGTTGCTTTTTTGGTAGTAGTTTTTTTAAATAAATATTTACATTTGATACGAATAAACGGATAACATTTGAATCTTCTTTTGTTTCAGTTTTCTTATGCAATAGTGAACTTACCTTAGTTTCTAATTTTTCAGTTTCGTTTTTGAAGTGTGTTCGTTCGCTCTCCACCTTTTCCAGTTTGGTTCGAAGTGACTCCAACTCCTCCTGTAGGTAAAAAGAGAATTTTATAAATAAAAATATAAGTTTCAAAGTTGGATGAACTTCATTTATTTACCAATGACTATCAGACAATTCAAGTAAAATATAGTAGCATAAAGTACAGGTCAAAATATATACAAAAATGCGCCACCTACCCACTTCTAATTGTTCTCTTTTAACCAAAGAGAGAGATTATTGTCTGTAAGAGATTGACATTGGTTAAAGGAGAACAGATAGAAGTGGGTGGGTGGCGCAAGAGTGTATTAATAATTTTTACATGTATAAAATACAAAACCTATATTCCAAAAAATATCAATATATATGTATATATTATTTACTAAACTGCATTTATAACTATAATACATAATAAAATGGTCATCCAAAATCACAATGAATTAAAATCTACTACTAAAATTAATTAAAATCTACTCTATTTATGTACTATATAATATGTAATGTACGTAATAAAAAATTGCAGTATTTATGTTTTTTTTTTGGTTTAAAGTGATATCTTTATATTTAATAAAATCTATAGTGGAGGGAAAGGCATTATTGGTAATAGGGTCTCACAGCCCTATTGCTAGCAATATGTTCTGTCAAGTCAACCTCTACACGGTTCCCCCCGCAAACCATCACGGTCAGTTATTGTTGAATTCGTCATGATGGGCCAAATGACCTGCTACGTCTTCAGCTATCATTCTTTATTAGTGCGCCGTCAAAGTACCAGAGGGAGATTTTGTACAAAAGTCGATTGCTGTGTTTCGTGTTTCAACCGTGAAGCAGTTGTGTTTGCATGGCTGTGTTTCGGTTTGAAGTGTGGGATATGGCGTGAATTTACTGGGTACAGAGGAATAACACCTGAGTCCTCAGGAATGGCAACGCATGGAGGGTATCATGGGCGAAACAGTATACTCTGTTACATCCATGGTACTGCTCATGTCTATAGGCGACGGTTACCACTTTCCATCAGGTGGGCCGTCAGCTTGTTTGCCATTCTAAGTTGTATAAAAAAAAAAAAAAGTATACCGATAGTGCGGGCGGGATCACAATTTTACATTCACTCTTTAAACCTTTAAAGTGTCTTGAAAGATACAAAACTGAATTTCATAAGATTCGATTCTCGATCGAGACAATTACACTCTGCAACAACAACTTACAACCTAATACACCCAGAATCTATCTAATATAAGTAAAGGACGTTTCTATATTGGGTAGGCTCTGGATGTATTGCGTATTTGTCGTGAGGGACGCCAACTATACAGCTTTGGTACCATTATCATCATAGTTCATGAGGACTAAGGTTCTGAGAATTGTGATTCGTACCAGAAATTACTTGATATGATATGACGGTATGTTATTGTAATATTTTGTGGCGTGGGGAAATAATGTTTGTATCGGCCGTTGCTGGCTTATATTTGTTTTTTTTTTTGATGGGTGATAATGGAATGGTAACCCCGCTTGTGCTAACGGGTTACGCTGGAGAAGCACCAGTGAAGGGTGATCGATGAGAATGAAAACAGGCCAGTTAGCCCATCATGATGAATTCATCAGGAATTAACCATGATAATTTCCAAGGGGAACCACGAGGAAGTCGACCTAGTTGGGTATATTGCTAGCAACAGGATTTTTGTCTCCATTACTAACAATCCTTTTCCCCCCGGCTTATATTTGTTAGGTCCATATGCACGCTTATCTCGAAAACATTGTGGTTAATTCCTGGTGAATTCGTCACGATATGGGGTTACTAACTTTATTTTCAGCCATTATCCCTCACTATCTTTACCTACAATAATTATCATCTCGCTTCTTAAAAAAAAATGATAATTATGGATGAATGTTTAAAATAAGTTATCCAAGCATGTCAATCACAATATATTTAGTATATATGTGTGTAGATGCCCATGTGTAAAAGTCATTGACCTATCTAATATAATTTGATCTCACACTTTACGATGTTTACAAAAAATAGTAGACCGAAACCAGTAGATTAACATAATCTATCGCTGTAATGGAGAAGTCTAGACTAAACTATCTTTTTTTAGTTTAAAGTGATATGGTAATATATTATTTGACTTTGGAAGGAAATTTATTACAGTTGATATAATAAACATTATATGGGCATAGACCTCTTGTAAAAAAGCTGTTTTATGCTGTAGAAAAATAGATATATATATATATCGGTTTAGTGAGAAGCAGACTTAAACGATGCGACCGGTTGATTATACTAATTGCTTACAAAATTGCTTTCTCGATTCGTGAGATAGTCGCAAACAAATAAATGAACGGAAATGTTTCAAATTATGAGAAAAGTTCTGGTTAATAATACGTAGGGTTTAAAGAAAGAATTTAACTCAAATTGGCATTCTTTATTTAGGTATTTATTTTGTCAATTTGTTTTTATTGTGCCTGTAATTATGTATTTTTGTTTTTAGTATTAGGTACATATATAATATATATGACAGTTTGTATACTTAGGGAAGTTTGAGATAACGATTTAAAAACATTAAAAAAATAATTACAAGTACCTCTATATTAGTTAATAATTAAAGCTTGTGACCCACAAAAAAATTAACTTCAATTGAGACAAAACCATTTAGTTATTTTAATCTAAAAACTAAACAACTGAACCGATTTTGATAAAATTTCTACGGTAATAATCTGTAAGTATATCCTTTTAGATAAAAAAAAATCTGTTTAGAACTGATGTAGTTATGAGGCAACAAACAGAAAAAAAAGACAACCGTATTTAGAAATCCTTTCTTTTTGAAGACTATTGACATGTTGTATGACAAAAATAACTACACTCAACTCTATCGATTGCAAGAAGGATCATTCAAATCAAAATTCATTATTGACGAAGGTATCGTGTAACAAAACAAAAAAAAAACATAAAGATCCGAATGAGAACCATTTCCTTTTTGAAGCTGTTTATAAAGGTGTAAATTATCTGCGACAGTCCGTAGTTAATTCACACCAGTTTTAAATTAACTACAGTGTGTTAAATTATAGCTATTCACATAACCATGTTAATTAACTCGACTTTCTACGAGATCGATATTGTTATCCAACTTTATTTTCTTTCATATTTACACAATGACACGAGATAATTGACTGGCGGTAGCGAAATCAGATTGAGAAATGTTTTAGTACCAAATTTGTTTAGGGCTGACAAAAACGTTTAAGAAAAACTGGGAATTGCAATGAAATGGTTTGAAAATTAAAAATTCGTTGTAATAAATTAAAACATGAAGTTATATTAAAAAGTGTCATATATTATTGTTTAAACAAATCGTTATATATTCGTTAAAAAAATCGATTCAAAAGGGGAACTGTTGAATTTCTTGCAGGCTCAACAGATAACAACTTTCCGAACCATGCATGCGATAGATTATAAAAAATGACGACGTAAACAAGTCTTTGAATAAAGATAATTTAAATTTGAATTTATTTCCTGTAAATTAATTATTAGATTGTCAGCAAATTATCAATTAGACATGTTTCTAAATTAAAGGATACTCTTGTATATAAATATTTTTTTATTTTTTAGTTTATTTGGTTAAATTATTTGAAATATTTATTGAATTTATGATTACGTAGAATATTTAGGGAGAAATGATCAACTTACACTTACTTCTTATGCTTTAGCATAAGAATGAACTTATAAATACTACTGTGACTGAAACTACTAACGAGTGAATGAAAAATATGTATTAATAGTATTAATGATATTGTAATGAAAAACAAAACAATAAGGGAAGTTCATGCGGATGGCAACCCTAAGTGTGGTAGCTAATGTTTATGATCGAGATACCCATCGGTGCGTGTCTATGGTCGCGTGTTGTTGGCGGGAAATTGAAGTATCGCAATGTTAGAAATAGGTATTAGTATTAGTTGACTTGTTATCTATTTAGTATCTGCCTGTTTACCTTGTTAAGTGAATTTTGTGATTAACACAACAAGTGAATATCAGGTTAGTTCATGAGCCATACCTGATTATTATCACTCCTGTTTCGGTAATTTGTTGTGTATGTTTTTGTATTTTATGTAAAATATATTTCTATCTGTTCTCCTTTAACCAAAGGTTGTTTGTAAGAGATTGCCCTAGCGATAAGACCGCCTTTGGTACCTTTATGTGTATATTTCAATTTGTATTTATGTTACTGTATTTCATTTTTATACTTGTCATTGTATATTTTTATTTATGGTGCAATGGTTAAATAAATAAATAAATAAATAACTTAATAAGCCATACGACCCACCTGATGGTAAGCAGTTGTGTATAGTCTGTGATGTGAACTTTTAATTGATTTTTTCTTGAAATTGTATTTAAGACTGTTAAGCTTATCTATGTATAAAATTATTAAATGGGCAAGATTTGATTCAATTAAAACAATTTAAACAATATATTATAAACTTACAATTATAATGACTTTTGTTGTTGAATAATTAAAAAATACGTGCCCCAATAAAAACTAACTTCAATCGTGACAAAACCAGTTAATTGGATTTAAAAACTGAACCGATTTTGATAAAACGTCTATGGGATTAATCTGAAAGTATATCATTTCTGATAAAAAAAAAAATCCAAATAGTTTTATAAATGACTAAGTTATGAGGTAACAAACACAAAAAAATATAACTGAATTGGGAACATTTTCCTTTTTTGAAATCGGTTGACAATTAATATAGATGCTTAGGTATCGTTTAAAGATAATTTGATGGTCAAAGAACCAATTTATTAGTTTTGTTTTATTTTATAACGAAAGTCAATTTTACTATTGTATGTTAATAAAATTTATTATCTGATGAAGTCCCATCTGTATTATATGTAACAACATTAAAATAGTGTGTCTAATTAAAAAAAAAAATAAACGACTGTTGTCTATGCTACTTGAATGACAAATGTGCATGATGTTAGTCGATAAAAATAATAACCATTTAATTTTAAAAATAGTACATTTAAATAAAACGTGAATTTATAATACATATGTGTTAATAGAGATTTA